TACGGATAATGTATCCGGATATGGTTTAGATTTCCGGATAATATGTCTGTATGTCTGTGTTTCATTTGGGATGGCGGACTGCGAACAGTACCCGCGAAACGGCCGCGTTGTGGGCATCAAAGACGACGAGGCAGATGAGATCACAGTAATGCAATTCAACGTCCTAGCCGATGGGCTATGCGACTTGCGTCATGACAAGGGAGGGTTCATCCTTGCGCCCCCAGAGTGCTTGCCATGGTCGTATCGCCGCAACTTGTACGAGTGAAATGGTTCCAATCGTGTCATACGTACATATGATGGTACACTCCACGCGTAGGATTCTGGCAGAGATCGCACGGTATGCACCAGACATTATTTGCCTCGAAGAACTCGACCACTTCGACTGGATGCAGGACCAATTGGACAGGTTGGGGTACAGCGGCCACTTTGCAGCGAAACGCGAATCGCCCTGCTTGGAGTGCAGTGACCTTCCCGATGGATGTGCAATCTTTGTGAACAGAATCAAGCACCTCCATATCAAGCACATGTGCGCTCCTCGGTACGAGCATGACGACGGCCGTGGCGCAGCTTTGCCGTCGAATCAGCTCGCGTTGGTGGCACATGTATTGCAGAACGAACAGTCTCTTGTTGTCGTGGCATGCACCCATCTCAAGTCCACGAAATCCCACCAAGGCGAAGTTATTCGACTCTCCCAAGCAAAGCAATTGCATGCCCATGTCCTTCGTCACGGCGGCGCCGACATCCCCACGATCATCTGCGGCGATTTCAACGCAACCCCCGACGACAATGACAAGTATGCAGCCCAAGCCATTCCGGCCATGCTGGACCTAGGCTGGACCAGCGCATATGCTCAAGCAGGCTCCACCCCCAACTACACAACATGGAAGACGCGGCCAGGAGTCGAGAGCAAACATGTGATCGACTACATTTTCCATAACGACAAGGTCCAGTTGCTGCGCGTCGTTGATGCCCCAGAGGACGTCGAGCCATCGGGGCTGCCGTCTCTGAGGTACCCGTCCGACCACATTGCGCTCATTGCAACCTTTCAAATCACATAGGGCACAAGAAAGATAGTTTTTACCGACGGGAAGTACTAGGATTAACGTATAATAGCAACCACTGAATCGCCCAACAATCAACGCACTATTGTCGATTTGATACAAATTTGGCGATCCACAATCGATCTGATTGGTTGAATTGCATTGAGAAGGTTTTGATTGGCTAATAATGTTTAGCTCATATGAGGTAGCCAATCAAATCGATAGAAGAGCTCGACGTACGTATCTCAAGTACGTACATACTGCATTTCCATGCGACAGCGTTGAGACGAGTATGTGCCACGGTCACTTTCTCATCAGACACATTGTCCGTCGAGTAAAGACAGCTAAGTCATACTGAACAGTCACACCTGGTACATACATCCATGCAAGCTATCGACATTACGTCGGCGCCTATCAGTGTCTCCACAGCATACGTACTACTAGTGTAAACAACGCAAGCCATGGAATGAATATATGGAATCTAGGATTTCGAGCAACTTTGACTGGTGGCAGTCGTTCGCTTCACCTGGTCGGATACGAGCCTGTGGACGGGATCGACTAGGGAGCCATGCGCGGGACGAAGGCAGGGATGCCGGTGACGGCGCGTCCGATGATGAGCGCGTGGACGTCGTGCGTGCCTTCATAAGTGTTGACTGCCTCCAAGTTCATGGAATGGCGGACGATGTGGTACTCGTCTGAGACACCGTTTCCACCCAGCATGTCGCGCGCAGTGCGGGCAATGTCGAGCGCTTTGCCGCACGAGTTGCGCTTGACGACCGAGATGATTTCTGGCGCGACGGGGCCTTGGTCCTGCAGTCGACCCACTTGCAAACACGCAAAGAGGCCGAGGTTGATTTCCGTGACCATGTCCGCGAGCTTCTTTTGAATCAATTGGTTCCTAGTGGTCGCATGTTATATACATGACACGGTATCCGAAATTATGTGACAACGTACGCGGCCAAGGGGGCGCCGAATTGGCTGCGGTCCAGCGTGTATTGGCGCGCAATGTCCAAGCATGAATCTACCCGATCCACGAAATGAATGAACATGCACAAGTATTCGAGTATTGGAGTGTTTGGGTACTCAATGACCAGAATCACCACATCGGCACACAATCGATATATCGACCAATCAAAACCCACAACAAGAATATCAAGTAGCCAATCAAAATATCCACTCTTTGACGAATTCAACATCGAATTCGTGTGCCACTGGGCGAATTTTGTATACAAAAGACAGTACAAAAAATGATTCGATAGATTTCGTGAATCAGCACTAAAGTCCAAATTTTGGGTATAAGAGAAACGTACAAGCAGCGCCCAAAGCCCCCCACGCAATGCCGTAACGAGCACTGTTCAAGCACGTAAACGGCCCCTACAATTCGAAATGTTAGAGGGTTCTATTCGGTAGAATATATATATATTCTACATATATATATTCTACATATATATATATATATATATTCAGGGGTGGTTCGACCTTGAGGCCCTTAACGTTGGGAAGCATGTTGGCCTTGGGCACTTTGACGTCTTCCATGGCAATCTGTCACACACAAGATGAAGTTCGCGAGTAGTGGACAGGTATGTACCATGCCAGTGGCAGAGGCCATCAACGTCGCTTTGCCTTCAATGTACGATGTCGACAGACCAGGCATGTCCTACATATGTCATCATGAGCCATCACCAAATTGAAGTGTCATCATGAGCCATGACCAAATTGAAGTGTCGGCTAGGTACCTTTTCCAGGATAAACCCCCGAATATCTCCATGGTCGTCCTTGGCCCAAATGATAAACACGTCGGCGATGGGGGCGTTGGTGATCCAGTTCTTGGCGCCGTTCAAGACGAAGTGGTCGCCGTCGAGCCGAGCGCGAGTCTCCATTGAGCTCGGGTCCGAGCCGTGGTTGGGTTCCGTCAATCCAAAGCAGCCGATCAGATTGCCCGACGCCAGTTGAGGAATGTACTAGGGTGATCATCATGATGTGTTGGCGGGGGAGTTTAGGCGAAGCTACGACACGCACCTTTTGCTTTTGCTCTTCCGAACCAAATTTGTAGATGGGCCACATCACCAACGACGATTGCACGCTCATGGCCGAGCGGTAGGCACTGTCGACGCGCTCCACTGCGTTGGCAATTAGACCGTACGACACGTAGCCGACGCCGGCACAGTCGTAGCCCTTGATCGTGGGTCCCAGCAACCCCAATTCACCCATTTCCTTCATGATGTTCTTGTCAAACGTGGCATTGCGATTGGCCTTGACGATGCGTGGGAGGAGTTCTTGTTGGCAATACGCTTGTGCTGAGTCCTACCACATGCAGTAGCAACATGACGGATTGGTTGAAGCGATAGCATTTTTCTGCAATGATATATACCCGAATCATGCGTTCTTCGTCCGTGAGGGCACCGTTAAGGTCGAACGGATCTTGCCAGTTAAAGGCACCAGCCTTCGCAGCCATGGATCGGGCACCAGCGGTGCGCAGCGTCGCGCGGCGGGCAATCGTGGACAACATCCTTCGCTTGTGGGTTCGAATTACAGAGGGAAACTGCGGATGTCGGCGTGCCCCGACGTCATATGGTCGTTTTAAGTTCGATCGTTATACTCCTTAAAGTGCGAATCTTGCGTATGTGACAGTCGACTGTGCAGTACCGCACCAAAGGTGATGTGCAGGTTAGTCCAAGGGATATTGACCATGATACAATCCATGCGCCGACAGCTCACATCTTGCATGAAGTAGACAGTGATTGCGTCGAGTTGGCGCAGCGTACGATATGCGGAAAACGCTTGCTGCTCGATATTTTGAACGGCTTTATGAAGTGTCGGTAACTTTATAACGAACTGATTGTAGTACGAGAGTGGGATTAGGTATATTGTACCGGTACTTAGGGGATGGGACAGGTCCAATTGTCTGGAGTATGTACCAGACAATGGAATGACATTTATATGGATAGATACGAAACGTAATAATACACACCAAAATATGCTGACTAGAAAGTCGGCAATCCTCTCAAGTCAATACAAATTGCTCCTGGTATATTACGTGTATCTGCTTCAACTCAAACTGAACCGGTTAAGTACGGTTTTGTACTTAATCCCTATTATGGGTAGCTTCAACTTGAAGTTTCCCCAACTTCAACGGTGCAAAATTAGCCAATTGTACAAGACTTCAAATGTCACCCGACGCTGCTACGTACATGTTGGCCACAGGATTCAACACGGTCGACACTTCACCAAGTGTTGACGGCGTCGCTGCCTCCAGTGGGGTTGGAACTTCGGCCCACGCATAGACCAATTCCTTTGTCGTGTGCAGTGTGATCGACGCAACTTCCCCTCCATGGCCGAGTGAAAAGTCGTACTGCCCCGGCTCGCCACCTTACGTTTCCACCGGTTGATATACGTGACTAGAATCTCCACGAGCACTTGCAACTGTTACGCAGTGTTCGCAGTGAAACTGCATCAAGCGCTTCGCTTGAGGCACATTACCCTCTCGAATACGCTTTCGGACAAAATGAAACTTATTTCCCGTCGACAATTCCGCGGTTCTGAATCGTGACATCAATACCAGCACTTTTGGGTTGGCCTTACCCACAGACAGCGTGAAATTGAAATACGCGAACGTCGAGTAGCTCGAACCAGCCCCAAACGGCCCCTCGTGCTCGCATTCGCCAAACGTCTCGTTCACGACGCACCCGAGGTTCTGTCGGTGGTAGTACGGCACCGCGCTGTCCGCCATAGTCTTGGGGTACGTAAACGGCAACCTGCCGCTCGGATTCACAGACCCCAAGAGGATGTCGGCGATGGCCGCGCCGCCCAACTCACACGGCAGCATCGCGTTCAGCACGGCGTGGACTACGTCCGGAAGCCCCCGCAGCAAGCGAGGACGACCTTGCACCAACACCAACACGACCTTGGTCCCCGTGGCCGCCAGCGCCCGGACGTACTCTTGCTGACCGCGAGGCAAGTCCAAGTCGTCAATGTCGCCCTGTTTCTCCGCGTACGGCCCTTCGCCTAGCACCACGACCGTGTAGTCGGACCGAGAGGCTTTCTTGACTGCATTAACCAGCACATCTTCGGTATACGCGCCGTGGATATCGACCCCTGATATGGCTTCGATGGCGCAGGAAGGACACGCGACGCGCAGCGCGTCTTGGACTGTCTGTCCGTGCGGAAACAAGGCGTTGTCAG